GGGTACAGAAAATTTGCACCATGAAATGAGGCCTCAGTGTTTGCAGCATTTATATCCCCCCCTCCAAAAAGAATCCCCCACCTGACCACCCACATTGCTTTGCTTTTATCCTTTCAATATAGATATCTAGGCTCCAAGATACAAAAATGCGTTTTGGAAGTGAGAGTCCAGATTCAATGTCACAAGTGAATTGTGAACTATATAGTTCTGTTTCCAGTATTTTGAGTTAAGTAGAACTACTGTAAGTCTTGAGGTTTCTCTATGCCAGCCTTCCTCAGCACAGTGTCCTCAAGATGCTTGAGAGTACAACTCATGGGAAGTGTAGTCCTACACACCTGGAAACAACACGATGTGGTAAAGCTCCTCATGATCATGTTTGTGCTTGTTAAAGCACATGTATGGGGCAAAGCTTCTAATGGCTTCTTGGGGCCTGGGTCAAGTAAAGAAATGTTATATCCTGAGGAACGCTTGGTTACCAAGCTATCCCGTAAAGACAGAACCTCCAGGAACATTTCAACTTCCTGAGTAGGTGTGCCCCCTTTTCCCCACGAGAACATTTTACAGAAATGGGGAGTGTGTGACCTTCCAGATGGCAACACTCAGCATTCCTCACCACTGGCTACAGCATCAGGGGCAAGTGCAAATTGGAGTCCAAAAACATCTGGAGGACCACATGCTCCTCACCCTTGTTTTAGGAGAATGAGGTACTCTTGCGTTCCCCTCCTCTGGTGCAAGGCTTGCTACATTATGCTATGTATGTTATAAGTTATTGCCTAGAAACAAGTCCTTATGTAAAGGGAGAAGAATCAAGAACAATACAGTATCAGCATTATGGGGCAGCCTTGCTCTTTGTCCTCAGAAGAGGGCGATCTTTTAGGAGGTAGTGACAAGAAGAAAATACCCTGCAGCTACACAATATTTGCAACAACATGAAGGATAATAGGCAACTGAAGGGTAAATGCAAATCAATTTTTAAAGAACAATTAAGAAATATATGTGCATTAGAATTTTACAGCTGGAATGATCTTTCTTACTAGAAGGTTTGTATTTCTCCATCACAGTTCTGTGCAAAATCAAGATTTGTTATGATGGGAAGATGGTAGGCAGCGAATGATGGGTACTGATGGGATACAGTGCCATGAGATCTATTTCTAAACATGGGGCTGCATCCCCCATCAATGTCCCACTCAAAGATTTGTTCCATAATCACCAGAACTGATATCCAAGTACACCATTGTCTTTAACCTTGTAGTCAACACTGCCAGCTGTTTCCCCCTCTTGTGATCATGAGGACTAGAAATCTGAATGAAGGAAAACTGAAACATGACCACCACGTATGTCAGGTCTGCACATTTTTAGAAGGTGAATGCCATGTAGTTCCACTTAAGGAAAAGACTAACATATATTGCTCTTCCAGGTCTATTTCCACCTGAAGTGGAGTTGACATACATGGCACTGGATGGCCAAGTTCCTTCAAAAGTTTCAATCAGGGATACTCAACATCCTTTCACCTTTTCAGCAAATTACCAAATACAAATGAGTTATTTATATTGTTCATTTAAGATGATTGGTTATGTAGTTTGCTCTTTCTAATAGAACATCTACTATTTAGAAAATAATAATAAAAATAAGGCACAGCAAAGCAATACAGACAGGAAAAAAGTGCCACAACACCACCTGTTATTAAACTGTGGAGAAAGATTCAGGGAAATTTGAGATATTCTTGTGCGGGAGAACAAGGCTTTTGGGAGTGCCATGCCAAATAAAGCTCAGAACAACACTGGTGGGAAAAGGATGATCTGCTGGTTTCCAGTTTTCAGTATCAGCATGTCTTATTTCTCCCAAAGGAATTGATTTTAGGGATCCATTTATTCTGTCTTCCTGAACCCTTGAAACAAATGCTCAAGTCCCATCCCTTAAAATCAATGAGTCTCATTACTTTAAAAATAAAATTGAATTCTTTAGATGGTTTATAGAGAAACCCTATGGTCCTACACAGCATTCTGAGGGTCATAGGATCCTCCAAGGATCAGAACCGAGATCAGAAAAAAGCTCCAACCATGGCCAGACCATGATCTCCTCCCTCACAGCTTGCATAGAAGGGATTAATCCAAGTTCTGCTCTGAGGACATTGCCCGACAGCCTCCAGCCTCTTTCCCTTCTCCTCCAAAACACCAGTTAGACAGAAGAAACTGACGGTTTTGCCTGTACGAGCCTCCTGCCCTACCCACAGTCCTCTGAGTTCTGTGCCCTCAGCACCTCGATCATTCACACTGCATTACTACTCCTTCTGCAAAATTCACAACATCTTCCCATTCAGCATCACCTGTGAATTTGAGGTAACTGGAGTGATAAAAGTGCATCTAAAACCAGGAACCCTGTGGTTCTATGCTAGACACCATCTTTCTCTACTGATGGTAATGATCCATGTTCTAGAGGACTTTAGTGTCGCATAGCCTTCAAATGAAAAGGAGTCAATTCAGGGAAAATCTGGCATGCAGATTCCACTGAATCTCAGTTATGTTCTTGCTGCCCATGGATGTCAATGAACAGCGATATTGTGGCACAATAATAAGGTGCAGGACCTCATTATGAGAGCCCCCATGGTCACACCTTGAAGGAAAGTCCAAAAATGCAAGGAGATATCTTGATCTATATCCACTAAGCTAATTTTAGTAGTTTTATTTCCTCTAGAAGCAGGTCTTTGTCAAGCTAATGGGTCAATTGCCTATTCCACACCAAGCCATCCCAGTTACATTGCAGGAATAGCTCACAACAATATCTTGCTTCATTTCCCCCTCAGCTACTGTAAGGGAAAGCTCAGAGGGAACCAGGAAGTAATAATGTCCTGCAGACTTTTATTTTTCTGTGTGTGCATATCAGAGACATTCATGTTGATCCAGAGGCCCAGCTGTGCTCTGTGGATACACAAAGGCCTTTGCTGCTGCATTTCCACAGAGGAAACAGACCTGCAACACTCAACAAAACGCACACATGGGAATGCGCTGACTGCAGCAGGCCTTCCAGAAGGGGAGGCTCTGAAGCATACGGTCACAGTATGAAATGTCTATAAAGGACTGGCCGCATTTGCTTGGATAAGAATATTAATCTGGGCTTCTTGCTGAAAAGTTATTATCAGAGGGAAAAAGGTATGTGCCTTAACTTGAAGAGGTTTCAATTGCTTTGTTTCCCCTCCATCTCCAGGAGTGAGACAAGCATAATAATCTGGAGACAATAGCAAGCACCATGTTGCAAATATATTGTAAACTGGAGTGTTGCAGTCCGTATGATTTGAGTGCACAGAATTACTATGTGACATGATCCAGCATGTCTGTCTAGGAGCTCACAGAGTGGGCTTGCCCAGTAGAGCTTTGGGCTTTTTTTTTTCTTAACCAACTTATTTTTACACATATTGGCCCTGCGGTTCTCTGGTTTATGGACACAGAGGACAGAAAACAAACAAACAAACAAAGCCATTATGTCTTACATTTCATTGAAAGCTGTCAGACTATGGCTATCCATATTCAGTTTGTTAAGAATGGATAATTTGCATATATGTGTGTTATTATTAATTTTAATTAACATCATAGTTGGCGGCCACTGCACATCTGTTCTACAATATAATGTTAAGCAAAAATATGAAGACCATATTGGTAATTATTTTGGAGCTTTCTTCAGTCTGGTGTGTTGCACCATGATTCCCATCATCCCTGGACAGCAGGAGGGCATCAAGTGGGGAAGGTGGGTTTCGAGCAGGGGTCTCAAAGTCGCGGCCCCCGGGCCACTTGCAGGGGTGGGGGGGGCACGGGGGAGGGGCCCTGCGGCCTTCAAAGCGCCGGCGGCCCCCGGGCCGGCCTCCGGGAGCCACGCGAGATGAGCGGCCCACCACCACCGCTTGATGCGGCCCAGCCTCACCCAGACCCTACTTCCAGCGGCCCCCAGGTAAGCTGAGTTTGAGACCCCTGGTTTAGAGAGACCCCACACTTAAGCCACAGGGGGCAATGTATTACACCTAATACACTGTGGCATTGCAACCATGTTTGCTTGCCACAGCGAAGCTGGTTGTGCTCCTTTTGAGGGAGGCAAGTCACGCCACTCTTTTCTGGAATTGCTCTTGGCCTATTTCTTTACTTATCTGGGCTCAGAATAGTGTTAATGTCTAGTTTCCCCCAAAGCATGCTGCCTTGCCTGCCCATAAACTTACGCATGAATCAGTGCTGCGGTGCACCGCTTGAAATAACACACTGATGGAACCACCTGTAGATTTATCCTTGAGCAGACACTTGAAATGGCACGCTCGATTGTTTTGCCTACTTGTCACTAGCAGTGAGACAAGTGCTGCTTGAAAAAGCAGGATGTTCCCTGTAATTGCTGCTTAGATGTCACGGGAAAGTTAGTGTCTCTTTCAAATAGTGCTAAGTACCCTGCAAATAAACCTACCAAAACGTGCACAGTAAAGATGGCTCTCAAGAAGAGATGCAAACTCCATCAGCTCCTTGCCACAGGTTGAGAGAGACGCCATGAGAAAAGAACCGGTCTTGGGAAATGCACATAAAATGTGTGGAGGTATCATAGGAACCATGGGCCATGATCATCCATTTCTCCACCAGCTTCTTCTTTGCTCCATGCAGCTCCCACCAATGCATGTAGCCCACAAAAATCAGTAGGAATGAGGAGTTTCATTCCAAAACCGTATGCCTGGAAACCTTGCATTGCCTACAAACACAGCTGCAATCAAGTGTTACTGACTGGAGTCCATCAAGGCTTGCCCTCCCCCCCCGCCCCCCAGAGCTAGTACTCCTACTTGTAGTCTTAATGGCCACATGCCAGCTCCAAGATCAGCGACAGGTCTAGCCATTAGGGAACATAAGCAGGAGGGTGCAGCTGTGCTCATGTCCTGCTTGTGAGCTTCCCCTGAGGGTCCCTTTGGCCACTGGGGGAACCAAACGCCAAAGAGCGCAGACTTTTAGTCTGATCCAGCCATGCTCTTCTTAGGTTCAGTGCCTAAAGGGTGGCTATTCTGGGATTAAAGGACAGCTCATAGGAGAGTTTTAGCTACTGGGGGATATCTGATATCCAGACAGTTTATCTGCAATAGCAAAAAATGCACCAGGACCATTTCTTCATGCTTAGGTAAAACAACATGTCAGATAATCCCAATGCAGTTCCATACAATTAAAAATAAAAATGTTTATAGTGTGTCCACCACATGTTCCCTTAGAAAATATTATAATATCTGAGGGACAAATGTCTTTTTCTAAAAAAGCTCACCGTGGGAATAGGTGGTGAACTCACTGCAAACATATCTCTTCTGTATTGAGTGTAGTAAATGGACTGAAGCATGGAAGTGTACGTATTGCTAAAGTCTCTGGATTCTAGAATTTGTTTCAAATATCCAAAACGTGCTGTAAAAATATGCTAGAGATTGTCCCATGGATTTAAAATGGCTTCCCTTTAATGACTGGTTTGTCCAGCCAGTTTACCTTTCCCACTTTACACACCCTGTGTCCAGATCGGTTGTCCATGACCACTGTCCCTGCATCACCTTAGTGAGGACACACAGTCTCAAACTGTGCGCAGTTGTCAGGCAGGGATTGCATTAAGCAGAAGGTGGCAGAAAAGGCCTCTTTAAACAGCTCACTTTGCCCCCAAAGCACTCAGATGCAGATCTGCAGAAACAGAGAACATTTCAAGGCGGCTGCAAGCTCTAATATCTAAAAAGACCTCAAGAGCACAATCTAGAGAAGGACGTGCCTAACACTGGGTCCTTGTACCTGCTGCTTCCCAGAGGAGAGCTTTCAAATGAATCTTCCTGGTCCACTTGGCATCAGAGGATGGATGCTGTTTCTTTCACCCCATCAAAAGCCCTTCTGGGCATATGCAAATCTTTTTGGACTAACAGAGCTATTTTGATTCTGGCCTGGAGGTATTCTTCTAATGAGCTTTGTTTTGCTGAATTGACTCCACTGGAGCCCACGAAGACTGAGATGGGGGAATCTCTGGCTTTACAGATCCCACCGTTCTTAACCACTGGCTTTCTGGATGGGGAAAATGGGACTGGGAGTCCAACAACTCCATCTAGGGGACTCAGGTCCCCCAGCCCTGCTGTAAGACAAGTAAGCCATACAATGAATGGTGGCTCCAAACACATGAGGAGAAAACATGGAGGGCTATTTGGTCAGGATACCTGGGCACTGCACAACCCTTTGCAGAGGGAGACTGGAAAAAGTGCAAATTGTATTGCTCTTTCAAGAAAGCGCCACATAATTCCCCTTGCAACAAAATCATAATATGTCTATTTAGAAGATGGGTCCCATTGAGTCCAGTAGGGCTTATTCCTTGGTATGTGGGTGTGAATGGATTTTGTGGCCTTGTAACACACTGACCATTAGTCTGTTCTAGTTGAAAGAAAATTCAAATAAAATGTTCAAGAGGGGATAGATTTTGCCCTTTAAATTTCCATATCACCAAGCCTAGCTCAACCAGTTCCACAAAGGACCACATAATTAGATTTTTAATTTTCACTAAAATGCGCGCCCTCTCTCTCTCTCTGACCTGGTTCACATGTAACTAGAAGCCATGAAGGATGAATTTCCCTGTGGGGCTGCTCATTGTGATAGTCACTATTTTTAATATTTGGGGTCTGACAGGGGTACCCCATAGCTTTTTGTTATAAATGCACCTGATGTGGGTTGGTTGTTAAAATGATTGACAAACCACGAACAACCCGCAAAGAGCCCATGGGTTCTGGGTGGCTTGTCAATTGCCCCAACAACCCACTTTTACCTGGCTCAAGAAGTTATGGTGCATTCCCACTGGTCCTTGCATTTTCAAAATGGCAGCCACATGACAAGAGAAATTCAGAGAAATTCACCGATGGTAGCTTTTTGTTATATGCAAACTGCCCCCCTCTCTCTCTTGGGTGCCATGATACTCTTGCTCTCACATACATGAAAATTTCTTACATACATTTTTTTTTAAAAAGGACACATCCAAAGATTTGGATAATAAATTACTTGCGTTTCCTAAGAAACTGTCTTCCTTTTTTTCCTTTTCCTTTTGTGTGTGTGTCTTAAGCTGTTCAACGCTCTTGACAGGACTAAACAGTTTTTCTAGATTGTGCTCGACTCTTCAAAGCATAAATTGCAGTAAAGAAGAAATAAGAGAAAACCAAGTGGGAAATGGGAGCAGAGAGAAAGGCAGGGAAAAGCAAAAGCAAAAACCAAACAAAAACCAAACCCTAACCCAGATCCCAGCAGCCCTTGTAAGCCTCATGAGAGGCAGCAGAAGTGAAGGAGGCCCCTGCTTCCAAGGGCCGCGGTCCCGGCTAGCAATGATACATTGCTTTTGTGCCTGAATCCAAAGGCTGTGAGGAGAAGGAGGAAGGAATCTTTTAACACTTGGATTGCTTGTAAACTGCGCAATGTGGATCTCTAAGGCTGATTGTGATTTCAGGAGGGAGGAGTGTGAGAAGGAGAAGAAATCCAAGATGAAGCCTTCCGAGTTAAGCTATGGTTCTGTTTCTTCTTCACAATCATTTCCCCCCGGTCAGTTCCAAGAGGGCTGCTCCCTCCTTTTTCTCTCCCTTTCTCACTCCCTCTTCCACTCGGCCACTGCTGGAAGTCTTCCTGAGGAGCTGCATCAGCAGTCCCCCTCTGTTGCCATGACAACCAGCATCTCACTCTTGCCCATCTCTTCCAAGGCACTGGCCAGAGTGTTAAGATCCCCGTCATCTTGGTGCTGGGCTTCCCACAAGTCCAGGATCACTCCTGTTGGGCTGGCTTTGGTGGCAAAGAAATTCAGATACCTGTACAGGAAGGAATGTGAGAGAGAGCTTGTTGGTGGTGAACTTCACATCTCCCCTGAGGACATTTCTCCCATTAGATTTCTCTTGCCAGGGTGGCTCTCTTGGAAGGGAACCACGATAAAACAGCATCATTCAATTCCCACCCTTCGGAATGCAGAAAGAGATTCCAAGACATTATTTAAAGCAGCTTTCTTCAGATCTTGTCTCTTTTCCCTTATCAGCCCCAGCCAGTATGGCCAATGATTAGGGATCCTGGGAGCTGTAGGCCAAAAAGTTTTGAACGGTACTGACCCCTGGTGATTATTGCATACTGTCAATGGAGAAAAATACAATCCTATAACGCATGGGTGGGAAGCCTCTTTCAGGCAAAGGGCTGAATTCAGTTTCGTAGAAACTCTGGAAGGCCGCATTTTAGTGATGGTTGGGACTGAAGGCAACAATGGAGAGGGCCCGGGTGCAATTGGTGGGCCACGCATACAAGGAATACTAGCCTAAGCCTCAAGTGAAGAACTTTCACCTTTAGAAGGGGGAAAATGCACAAAAGCTGGGAAATTGGCAATTCATGACTGGTGGCTAGAAGAAAGACAGTGGAGACTTACTGACACTTCCTGTTTTGCTATGCCATCAAGTAATCTCTGACTTGGGGTGATCCTATGAATGCCCTTCAAATTCTCCTGTCCTTGACAGCCCTGCTCAACTCTCATGAACTCAGGGCTGTGGTTTCCTTTATGGAACTCATCCATTTCAGATTTGGTCTTTCTCCTCTTTTTTGCCTTCACCTGGCATCGCCGTCTTCTCCAGTGAGTCTTGCATTCTCAGGATGTGCTTGAAGTACGACACCTGGATCTCAGAATTCTGCTAACAATTCAGTTTCATTGACGTTTTCTCAGACATACCCCAAATCGTTAAACTAAACTGAATGACACTAACCAATTTCCATGAGGAAACTACTCGGCAGTGGCCTTTGAACAGTGCCACTCAGGGTGTGCGGTCCTGAGTGATGGGCAACATGGATCTTGACAAGTTATTGTGGTATTTAAACCCTCAACCTGTTAGCACTGGAATGAAGTCCTTGCATCCCATCCTTACCCTTGGCTGAGAGGGCCAAGGCTCACAGGGACGTTTTTTCACTCTTTTGGCGAATCCCATCCCAAGGGCCTCTAACAGTGGCTTAGCAGCCCTTCCCTGCTTCTGGCCCTTTGTGCTAAATGCTTCCCCAGAGCACAGCAGACTCCAATTTTTCAGGAACTGACAAGGCAACCGACTGTTTAGGCAGAAAGCCAGCGCTGCTTTATTTTATTTCTGCTCTGAGCACCTTTGCTTGAACATGAATCAACATGGGTGCCGCTGCGAAGCACTTTCCCCTAAGAGCCCTGCTGGAAGCTCCCTTTTGTAGCTTTTAGTAGGGCAGTAAAAGTGCTCCTGCTGCACCAGACGTTTGATACAGGCAGTGTTCGGCTGATCGATCATATTTAGCGTTGCTTATGTTTCCTGGCTGATGGCTTAGTTTGGTCCTGGTATGTTTTACTGATTATTCTTTATGTTACTGCTGCTTTTAAATCTAACCTAGCGTTAACGGCTTTTGAGGAGTTTGATCAGGAAACTGGCTTGCTGCGGCGAGTGTGGGGCCACGCCACAGACAAGCATGAGAAGAGGCCAGCGCACCAAGCACGGGTGAAATGGGAGAGGCGTGCTGGGATCAGCTCGACAGGGTCTGTAGCATTCCGTGCGCTGGGAGGAAGACCTGGGCTGACTGGGTGCACACACAAGCTCTCCCTTGCCCAGCCCCACCTTTATGCTGGGGAAAATGGGGCGAGGGAGGGAGCTGTGTGCATTGCTGCCTAAGGGCGCATGAAGTCCAACAAAGCACCCTCTCCAGCCCCACCTGCCCTTGTCCAAGGAGAGGCTGTGTGGGGAGCGTGCCTGACGATGGAGGAAGGCTGGCAGCTGCAGGTGTTCGCCTGGCCTCAAGACAAGCCCAAAATGGCACAGCCCTGGGCAGTCTAGAGAGACCACAATATATAAGTAAATATATATATATTGTATATGGTTGCTTTGCTTTTTTTATTTTTTGTAAGCCTTCCAGAGGCTTTTTAGTATTGGACGGCATACAAAAATGATCAATAAATAAATAAATAAGTGTGGTTTAACAGTTATACTGTGGGGCTGGCACATGGGAAGACTTAGAGTCAGTCACTGGCTTTCAGCCTGCCCTACATTACAGGGTTGTTGTGAAGAGAAAATGGAGAGGAGGAGGGTTATGTAAGGAGAGAGGAATTCCTTGCATGAGGGAAAAAGGGTGAGATATAAATGCGATAAATAAACGCCAATAACATAACGTAAGTACAAGAAAAGAGTGTCCTCAGCTGGTATGTTGGCCGTACGACGGTTGAGAGCAAAGTGCCGAAACAAAAACCCACCGGTCCATGGAAAGTTTCTGAGCCAGGAGTCGCCAATCGTTTCCTCTGGAGTTGGGGGCATCAAGGCTGTTGCAGATTTTCTGCCGTATGGACAGAGGGATCTTGAAGGCATGTGGCCCCAGCTGAGTTGTCAGGGTGCTGCCAGGGTAGGAACACAAGGCATCAAAGGAACTGGAACTCTGGAAAGGAAAAGGGCAGAGCTGGGTTGCGGGGCCCTTGGACACAACTGCGCGGAGCGCTGAGCCTGTGCATCCGGAGCCAGTCTTGCGTATTTTTCATGGATGAAACTCAGTCGAGCACCCAACCTATGCACAGTGGCTTACCACAACCAACCATGAGCCACTGCATGATGTAAATCATTTATCACAGGCCCTTAGAAACTCAGAAGTGTTTTCTAGTGAAACTGTCTCCTTCCCTTGGAATCCGCTTCTGTTTTCCAGAGAAGAGGTTTAAGAAGGCTTGTGATTCAGTTCCATTTGCGGTGCAAACAGATCTTAAAGTGAAGGGAATGCTTCGCAGCATGACTAAAGGCCCATCTTTCACCTCACGTTCCCCTTGAACAATGGACAAACATCTAGATAAATAGCACAGAGAGCGAGAGCATGCCCAGGCGATTTAGAGGCAATTAGGGCTTTGCATGTGAAAATGGATCGCCCCTCACTTTTCCACTCTCATTGTTCCTTTTGCAGTTTGGAATCTGCTTTTTTTCTGTCTGGAACATTGACGGGACTTGTGGATTCCTGTGCAAAATAGTGGGGGGAAATTGCTGACAGAGGTACTCTGAGGAAGAGACAAAGCCCGTTCACGCTTGCTAAAATGCATTAGGCAATCCAGTATGTGTGGATAGTTGAAAACTGAAGCAACAGGAAAGTGAAGGGTAAATATCATGCCTTAAAAATAAACAGTGACTTTTATAGTGACATCAAACACTCTTGCTTCAGTGAATCCAAACAGCCTTCAAATATCACCATGCATGGCTAAGCAGGTCTTAGAGAATCAGAACAGGTATCCAGGGCTACAGATGTACGTCTGCAGGGTGGCGAATAGGTGTGCTTAATTTTTAAAAATAAGTCCAGCGTTGCACAAAGGAATATTGCCTTTCAGGTGGTTCAGATTCCATTCTCAGAACAATTTTGCCATAAAATATGCAAACTTTAGATAAGTTGTGTCCTTCTCAGGCTGTCTTCTACTGAAACACTTTAGATTTTAGCAGAACGCATAATCATCTGGCAGGCTCAGAAAGGGGGAGAAGGCCCCAGGAACAGTCTGTCAGGCAAAAGGGAGCAAACAGTATTCTCCTTCACGTTTGACAGGGCCTTCACAGAACCTAGTCCTGTTCCTCTAACTCTATGCAGTATCATTACTTAGCAAGCCTAGGGTGCAGCATTTGGTGGAAGGCATAATACGAAAACTGGCCAAAACAAGGAAGATGAATTGCAGATCCATTGGTAGCCTTCCCCTCGCTACATCTTGAACAAATGCTCGCTCGGAATGATGGAAGCTCCGGTCCCACACATCTGCAGGACACCAGGCTAGAACCATGCAGTGCACTTTGGGGACTCAGAGATAGGCACTCTATGCATGCTCAAAGCACTCTCCTCCAGCAAGCCTGCAACAGCAGAGATAACCATCAACAGCACTTTGCACACCATGCAGGTAATTCTAAACTATTAGAATGGGGGTTCAGGTTCCAAGGATACACATCAACTCCTGCAATGGATTTTGGAAGCTCGGCAGCAGCATTGGCTTGTCCGCCTAAAATTAAAATAGGAGCACTGAGATATGAGAGAGCGAGTGAGCAAGCAAGCGAGAGAGGGATCCAAAATGTCCAGCTGTGCTTGTCATCCAGGCACATACCCAGGGGGCTGGCTGGAAGGAAGGATTACCTTTCCCTGGATAGGGAACTACTGGCATGATGTGATGAGTCATATTGCACTTATAACCTGTGGAATAGGGTGGAAGTGTCAGGAAAAGGGTGAAGCCTGCAATTAAAGGTGCGATCCTTTAGCAGCTGGTATCAGGGAAAATTCCATCTCTCTCCCCTCACTGGGTCTGGGGGTGAGCCGTATCTTAAGCCAAGCCTGGCGGCTGCCCGCATATATGCCAACAAAGATATGCCAGCCAGTTCTGGCTAACGACTCTCAGAGGGGCTTGCTCAATATCCTGTGCCATTTGCCTCCCACGGCCAGCTGACTTCTTCCTGGCCTTCCTTTGCTCACCTCTCCAAGTGTAACATGAAGCTGGAATATCTGCCCTTCCCCTTCCACCTGCCGCACGCAGATCTTGCAGGTGAGCTCCGTGGAAGCTGGGCTGTATCTCTCCAGGGTGAAGGTGCAGTGCAGCGCCCGCTGGCTGCCACTCCAGATGTGATAGAAAGGGATCTCCTGCAGCAGAAGGGGAAGAGTCAGTGCTGCGGGACGGCAGCCTTTTGGAAATGCACGGGGAGGCTCAGTTTGAACAGGTGCCAATAGAAGAGGCCAGCACAACATCAGACCCTCCGTGTTGCCCAGGGCCCACCCTCTGCTCAACCAACTCCTGCTATTTTCGTAGACCCGGGAAGGCTGGAAATGCAAGGCGCCCCACACGCTTGCAGGCCCCGCGTGGATGTCCCCGAGTTGCATCACTGCTTTGCCACTGGCACCGTGCAGGCATTCCCGAGTTGCTGGCATATTGGCAGCCCAGCTGCTCACCTGGTATTTTGCCAGGAGTTTGCTTCTCCACAGTGAGTGAGGGATGTCATGGACAGAGAGGCGCAAGTTGTGATAGCTGTCCTTGAACAGGAGGGGTTTGGGTTCTTCCAACAGGTAGCCACCAAGGGTTCTTTCTAATTCAAGCACTTCCTGTGGAGCAAGGTGGGGGGACAACAGGGTGAGAAGAAAGAACAATGCTGCAGACAGAAAACACACCAGGGTGTGAGCAGGTTAGACAAGGCACATTGTCACATGCTGCCTCAAGAGCCCAGAAGAAGGTCCAAAGGCCTCTGCAAATTTCCCAAACGGGTGCCTTCTGGATGTGCTGGGGCTGCAACTTGCTACATCTCTGGCCGCCATGGCCAATGGGCTCTGCTGCCTGGGAAAGATGGAAATTGTAGTCCAGAATATTTGGAGGGAACCCTGCTGGGAGAAAGTTGCCCCAGGCTGTCTGTGTTTCCGGATGGGTCACCTACTAACAGCTTCTCTATGGGTCTCAACAGCTGGCTTCTGTGTGAACTGATTCTGTCCAATGTAACCCACCAGCCATTTGTGGTGATGTACGAATCAATAGGCATAACTTACACAGGTATAATTATGCAATCGTCGACACATAACCAGAGGAAAATCCACTTTTCTAGAAATTAGCATGTGTGCATTCTTGAAATGTAGCGGACACTGACCAGGCACTTGACAGGTAACAGCAGCTCAAACAAAGAGCCATTCACATCAACCCACTCCATTCTCCTCCTCTTCTACGTAATAGTGTCCCATCTTCCCCACTCCTTCAGAGTATCTTCTCTGGTATGCAAGTGGGAAAGATCATACCATTGCAATTTTTTACTTCTCCAACCCACTGGAAAGTGTTAACGGTGTTACATGTAACCCTTTAATGCTCAATGTATAAAAGGGCCAACTGAAGACTGCTCAGGTGTGACGTCTGGAATAATTCATTGGTAGCTGGTTAATTGCCTGGGAAAGCCATCCTGAGACACTTGTAGTGGATGGCCTATAAAAGCTCTATTCTGTCTGTCTATCTATAGAATATATCCTTTAAAAGAAAACCCTCCCCTGTTGTGTATTCTGAGCGTACGCACACCAGGATATGGACCATTTGGTCAACAGTGGCACCCAAAAAGGATCTCTCTCTCCATGAGTGTGGGACTTTGCCAGCATCTGGGTTTGGAAGCACCTCATACTCTGCTTGTGGACTTCTCTGAGGCATCTCTCTGGATACTGTCAGTAGGCAAGATGGAAACTGAGATGG